AATAATATTCATATTGTAAAAGAAAAATATAAAATAATATACATATAATGTTACGAGTATTTTAACATACAACATTTTATATTATAATAAAATTTTACAATTTTTTGATATATTTAATATTTTAATATACAAGGTAAAAATAAAAGTGTTGAAACTCTTCAATTTTTTTACACAAAACTGCGCATTAAGAAAATATTTTATACAAAAGTTGTAAAGTTTTGAGTAACGCATTACATAACAATATTAGTATAACCTTGAATAGCATTATCAAATTCATGTAATGATTACCTTGAAATTTTTTAATGAATAATAAAATATTTTTTTATTAAGTACTTCTCACACGCTTTATAAAGCTTGAAAATTACGGTACCGTCAGCATTAGCATTACCCAAGGTGTACCGAGTGATGATTGCGGTCGGATTTACATATATGATCTTTGTGTGCGTGTGCGTTTATGTGTGTAAAGTCCTTATCTATGCTGACACACACACACACACACACACACACACACACGCGCGCGCGCACACACAAAGAGGTGTAAACCCAATCGTGCAACCTTCATTCGGTACACCTTAAGTAATGCTAATGCCGACAGTATTATAACTTTCAAGATCGATAATTCGGAAAGTACTTAATAAAAAAATATTTTATTATAGTGTTTTGAAAACCTCTCAAGATAAGCTATATGAATTGAATATATAATAAAAAAGGAGTATTTATTTAAAAATTTCAAGGTTATACTAATAGAGGAACTGTACCTAATATCGCCTTTGTTCTTAATTCTGCACCCTACGATATTGAGACTGTTACGTGTTGCATTTTGTCAATGAGCAGTAGAAGCTGTTGAACAACGCTGCTTTGGATGATCTTTTATTTTATTTTAATTAGAACTGTGATATAAAAAGTAGCATGGCAGTTCATAGTTTTAATAAGGTTTTGAAATTTTGCAAGAAATGTCTTACGTTATTAATACAGCAAAAAAGATATGTATTAAGAACAAATTTCTGCCATAAAAAAATGTGATATTGTGTCTAATTTTATTCCTAAATTAGAGATATTTGTTGTTAACCATTATTGTGATGCTTTAATCGGTTATGTTTCTTCCTTGCGATAATCCTTATTCAGACCTCTAGGAATGTTCATTGTTGTGCCGGTACCGTGAGTTGTTCTCAGGGTCGGCACAGGATTCGGGAATCTCGGGTCGGAGAAGAAACACTCGTCACGATGTATAACATTAACAGCCAAATATATTTCTCATTTACTCTTTGATACAGTTCCCTTTATTTTAGTTACGACACTCGCGTTTCAGTAAGTGATTTATGAGTAGTTAATTGGACGCACGTGTCGCTAAGATGGTAACTAGCGACTGCCCGCCGCTCGTCGGAAAGGCGGGCGCTTTATCCGCTCGGTATTGCTGACTTGGTTGTCAGCGTTTTTGATATCGCGATCAAAGGTCTAACGGGCAGGTGATGTCCGGGATGACCATATTTGGTCATTCCCGAAACTTGTGCAGGTCTTCGCGTCAGCGGTCTTCGTCGCTAAGGTCATATTTCCGATAGGAGGCAACTCGGAGTTGCAAAGTGCAATACTTAATCTCTAATTTGTTGTGCGCTCACAACATCATTAAACCGTCTATTTTTCGTAACTGGTCTGCCTCTAGAATACTTCTGAAGCTCCCTCAGCCTTCTGTAAAATGAGTAACAAGATCTTTTTCCGAGAAGAAATCGGTCATGTTAGACGCTGACCACATCACCTTATAATCCGTGAAACCCCCATGGGCTTTCTTAATCGTTAAAAGAGGATATCTTTGAGTTTTTTTCCAGTATATATTGTGTCTTGTATTTTTAACAAAAATATGTAAAGTTGCGATATTAGAAACACTTTTTTCGATGTCAAAAATGCTACTTTTTTTGTTTCTCTTCAGAAAAAATAGTTAAAATAAACTTTGAACACATTCATGCCATGGAGATCATATTACGATAATCCTAGAATAAAATGACGTGGTTTAGTTATATTCTTATAGAAGTTTTCAGTCAAATTTTTGGTTTTTAAAAATGGGGTGCGATATTAGGAACAGTTTCTCTATTACTATGTAATGCATTTAAACTCTACAACTTTTGTATGAAGTATTTTTTTCGAAAATGCGCAGTTTTCATAAAATTAAGGAGTTTCAACATTTTTTATACTGTATGTGTTTAAA